TGTTCCCTCTCTCACTGTATCTCTCTCTGTCAAATAAATAAAATCTTAAAAAAAAAAAAAAAAGATGTGTGTAGGGGCACCTGGGTGGCTCAGTTGGTTAAGCGTCTGCCTCTGGCTCAGGTCAGGATTTCAGGGTCCTGGGATGGAGCGCTGCGTCAGGCTCTGCGTTCAGTGGGGAGTCTGCTTGTCCGTCTCCCTCTGGCCCTCCCCCCCCCACCGCTCCTGCTTTGTCTCTCTCTCAAATAATCAAAATCTTTAAAAAAAATAAATATATGTGGATTTTCCACTGAGCAGGAGGTGATAGCTCCTAAGCCCCACGTTGGATTAGTTTATGGAGGCATGGAATACCTCGGGAATGATACGGAAGCAACTAATATCAGAGGCCGCCTTAGAGGAGGGGGACAGAGACAAGAGGGAGATTTTTTACAGAATACCTTTTTCATTTTTTGAATTTTAAATTATGTACCTGCACAAACTACTTAGAGATCTAAAACAAAACTACCTGACTTGGAGCATTAGTAATTACAGAGAAGGAATTATGCATTCATCTGGGTTTTCCAGAAGGAACTTAGTTCTTTTCATTTGTTTTATTTTTAAAATTTAGGTGACTTCTACACCCACTGTGGGGCTCAAACTCAGAACCTGGAGATCAAGAGTCACACACTCCTCTGACTGAGCCAGCCAGGTGCCCCCAGGAACTTATTTCATAAGTGACCTAAGTAGTCCAGACGATGAGGGAAAGTTCCACTTTATAGAAGAATACCAGCTAATGGGTGTGAACAAAAAGATAGGAGGAGAAAACCATCATTTTGAAACTCCTCCTAATGAACTTATGGACTTACAGGAGAATTAAAAATGATGCTAAAGCCATTAGGTGAAAGATGGATGAACTGGACATCCATATAGGGTTAAGAGAACACGACTCATAACTTTCTGCCCAGACAAAGGGTGAGACAGTCCGGTGGAAAAATCAGACTAGATCTAGATACTATGTCCTTTCTGATTTGAAGCACAATGAAGTGCACAACATCACGGATTATTAGAGGCTGGCAATTTATTCTATAAAGGGCCAGAATTTAAAATATTTTAAGCTTTCTAGACCAGTCTATGTTGTAATTACTCAGCTCTGCCACTGTAAGGTTAGAGCAGTTATAGGCAGTATGTAAACAAATGAAGAGTTCTAATAAAACTTTATTTGTGGACACTGAAATCTGAGTTTCATATAACTTTCATGCATCATGAAATATTATTCTGCTTCTAATCCCCTCCCCGCACCCCCACCACTTAAAAATGTAAAAGCCATTCTTAGCTCACAGGTTGTATGTAAACAGGTGGTGAGCTGGATTTGACCTCTGGGCCATAGTTTCCCAAAACCTGACCTATTATAATATATGCAATCCAAAACTTTTACCTTGAATGTATTAGACCATTATATATAACTGATAGTTTCATAGGAAACGCAATAAAGAGAGAAATAAACAAAATAAATAAACACCATGAAGACGTTACCAGACAAAGCCTGAAAAGGAAACAAGCCAAGTGGTCTGGTTTCTTCACCAAATCAGAGTCATAATAAAGGGGCTGTGCTAGATGAAAACAGACTTTAGGGACACCGCAGCCAGACAAATTCCTGCATCTGGTCTGATTAATGGCTTAGACTAACCAGCTATCAAGGACATGCCGGGATCATTAAAGAAATCTGCATATTTGAGACGAAAATGTACTGAAATGGGAAGGTGAGGACTAGTGACTGAAGAAAGCAGGCTGCAGACCTTATGTCTAAGATAATCTCATATTGGTTTAAAAAAGCCTTTTATAAAAGTGCAGGAAAAGATGTAAAGGCCATCCACTGAGGCGTTAGGGAGCTCTCCAGCTGCTGGGAAGGTGACATTTTCAGCTTTAATTTGTACTTGCCGTATTTTCTAATTTTCTGTTATGCACATGTACTATTTCTTATGAAAGGTTTTTTTAAAAGAACTCATAAATCTTAAAAAAGTAAAGGGGGGCGCCTGGGTGGCTCAGTCGTTAAGCGTCTGCCTTCGGCTCAGGTCATGATCCCAGGGTCCTGGGATAGAGCCCCACATCGGGCTCCCTGCTCGGCAGGAAGCCTGCTTCTCCCTCTCCCACTCCCCCTGCTTGTGTTCCTGCTCTCGCTATCTCTCTCTCTGTCAAATAAATAAATAAAATCTTTAAAAAAAAAAAAATTCTCAGGCGCCTGGGTGGCTCAGTCGGTTAAGTGACTGCCTTTGGCTCAGGTCATGATCCTGGAGTCCCGGGATCGAGTCCCGCATCGGGCTCCCTGCTCAGCAGGGAGTCTGCCTCTCCCTCTGACCCTCTTCCCTCTCGCGCTCTCTATCTCTCATTCTCTCTCTCTCAAATAAATAAATAAAATCTTAAAAAAAATAAAAATTAAAAAAAGATTCTCTCTCCTCCCTCTGCTCCCCCACCATCCCACACTCTCATTGACTCTCTCAAATAAATAAATAAAAGTTTTAAAAAAAAATCCTCTGACACACACACACTTAAGAATGCCCAAGGACGGGTTCCTGGAACTGAAATTATTGGGTCCAAGGGCATATAGATTTTAAAAGTTGACAGAGACTGCCTAACTGCTCTTTTAAAATGACTTAGCAATCTCCATTCCCATCAAGAGTGTAGGAGAGCACTTATTTCCCTGACTTCTTACCAAAACTGGGTGTCATCAATCTCTAAATATTTATAAGCCTTACAGATTTAGCTACTAACAAAAGTTGAGGGCGCCTGAGTGGCTCAGTCGGTTGAGCGACTGCCTTCGGCTCAGGTCATGGTCCTGGAGTCCCGGGATCGAGTCCCGCATCGGGCTCCCTGCTCGGCGGGGAGTCTGCTTCTCCCTCTGACCCTCCCCCCCTCTCATGTGCTCTCTGTCTCTCATTCTCTCTCTCTCTCTCGAATAAATAAATAAAATCTTTAAAAAAAAAAGTGGAGCATTTATCTTATCTTCACGGGCTGTTTACATTTTTTTCTATAAATGGCTTGTTTATACTCTTTGTCAATTTACTACTGGGATATTGTCCTTTTTTATAGTTATCACTACGAATACTTTTTCTATCATATATTTGTGTATGTATATACATACATCTTTTGAAATTATCTATGGAACTCTTAGGTTTTAAATCCGAATGTGGTCTAAATATGTCAACCTTATCCTTTTTGTGTTTTGGGTGTTCCATCGTATGAAGGAAAGCTCCAGGGGCGCCTGGGTGGCTCAGTCAGCTGTGTCCAATTCTTGATTTAGGGTCAGGTCAGGATCTCGGGGTTGTAAGACGGAGCCCCGCGTTGGGTTCTGTGCTGGGCATGGACTCCGCTTGAGATTCTCTCTCCCTCTGCCCCTCCCCCCTCCCCGGCTCACGAGCGCTCACCCCCTCTCTCTCTCTCTCTAAAAAAAAAAAAAAAAAAAAAAATTATTTAAAATGAAAAGAAAATAAAAAATTTAAAAAATGAAGGAAAGCCTCAGGTTTTTTTACAGTTTTGATTTTTATGTTTGGATTTTTAATCTATCTAGAACTGATGTTTTATGAAAGAAAGAACTCCACGTTATGGTTTTTCAAAGCGAGAGCCGTTCATTTCCATACCATTCATTGACTATTCTATCTGCTGCCCAATGATTTGAAATGCCATCTTATCATCGGATATGACAATGCCATATGATCATATGCGTGACACGTTATTTACATACACATATGTACACATCATGTCCTGCTGCATTTAATCCTCTAGTCTGCTGCTACGTTAGTACCACACTGGTTTACATGCTGTAGCTTTCTTTTTTTTTTTTTTTTTAAAGATTTTATTTATTTATTTGACAGAGAGAGTGAGAGAGCACAAGCAGGGGGAACAGTAGAGGGAGAGGGAGAAGCAGGCCCCCCGCCAAGCAGGGAGCCCGATGCGGGGCTCGATCCCAGGACCCTGAGATCACGACCCGAGCCGAAGGCAGACGCTCAACCATCTATCTGAGCCACCCAGGCGCCCCCATGCTGTAGCTTTCTTTATAGCTTGTACCACATCTGCTAGGGCAACCTTCACTGTTCTCTTTGAAACTTTTTGTGGTTATTATTACAGACTTTATACAAGGTCCCACTCAAAGTACATTCAGTATCAGGTGATACAGAAAGAAACAGAATCAGTGTCTATCTGAAACCAAAGCAACAAAGTCCTTTTCCCCGTTACCTTATAAAGTTCTAGACCAATGCCAGCTGCCATTTTGCCTCCGTAGGACTCTGAGAAAATGTAGAATGGAATCGTCTAGCAAGAAAAGGAATTTACAAAGAATAAATATCCCGGATGCCTTCTTTTCCCCCACATGAGTTAAGTTCAAATTTCTACCGCATGTAATGGCCAAACAAAACAAATCTGCTTTTCTTGGTCTTTTCCCCCGTATCTGATTAGAATACTGGGTTCTAAGGTCATTCTTTCAAGCTCAAAACCACTTTGAGATGATAGAAACAAAAGGCCACAACCTGCTCTCAGGTGCAGAAAAGTTTTCTCTGATAATGGCTGGACATTGAACTCTTGGGGAAACAAGTTAATTCAGATGGCTGTAGCAGGGTGACTGCTAGCCGCTTTGCTCACCTGTCCCCAAGTCACTGCTCACCTGAAATTCCTTGTGGCAATCAAAGAATGTCTTCAGGAGAACCATCATGTCTGAAGCCACTGTGGCGAGGTCTTTGGCATATGCGTCACTCTTGTTCACATAACTGAACCCACTGCCCACAGGGTTATCCACAAATAGGAGACTGGCTGACTGGAGCTATACATCACACAGGAAAGTCAAGTGGTACAACCACTCAGTTAGTCACCGACTATCTTTCCACCATCTTTTTTTTAAATTTATTTTTATTTATTTATTTATTTATTTATTTATTTTAAAGATTTTATTTATTTGAGAGAGAGAGAATGAGAGATAGAGAGCACGAGAGGGAAGAGGGTCAGAGGGAGAAGCAGACCCCCCTGCTGAGCAGGGAGCCCGACGTGGGACTGGACCCCAGGACTCCAGGATCATGACCTGAGCCGAAGGCAGTCACCTAACCAACTGAGCCACCCAGGCGCCCTTTATTTATTTTTATTTCCACCATCTTCTATGCGTGTTAACCCATGCATGTGAAGATACCAGTGTGCTTACGATCCTACTGCTAAAAGGGATTTCAAAAAATAAGGGTCAGGAGGGGCCCCTGGCTGGCTTAGTCGGTAGAGCTTGTAACTCTTGACCTCAGGGTTGTGAGTTCAAGCCCCACATGGGGCCTGGAGCCTACTTAAAAAAATAAATAAGAAGGACCAGGAACATAGACTACTAAGGCAAAGAGAGGCAAAGAAAAGAAGAGGCAAGAAGGAAAGATTAACATACACACAGGGACCAAAGCATCTAAGCTGTCACTTTTCACACAATATGGCATCCTAAACATAATCCACTGGCTCAGGTAGAGCCACGCAGCATCCGTCGGAGCCACGGGTCAAAGCAGTGACGGTACCACCGAGGTCTGAATATCACGTATCAGTTTTCTTCAAGATGAATCCAATTTCCACAGAAGCCTGGCCTCCAGTATACCGCAAGTACAGAACTTACCCTAATACCTTTTCCAAAGAGGCTCAGAGCTATAGAATCCTCTGTCTGGAAGGATCCTCACTGGTGACACAGTCCAGCCATGTCCTTTACTGATCAGGGAATTAAAGTTGAGAAAAGACCCAGGACTTGTCCAAAGAAGGTCACAAAGCTGGACAAGTAATGGCAGCATCAGCACTCAGGCCTGGGCCTCCTCACTTCTCATTCAGGCTCTCTGCCTGAGTTGCGCTGTGCTCTGAGTTCTGGAAAACTTGCGAACAAGCCAGTGTGGTGCTCTGCTACAGCACGTAGCAAGTTCAGGAATGTTCCAGGCTAAGGGAACGGCATGTGCAAAGACCCTGAGGCAAAAGTAAACTGCACTTAAGAAGGACCAGCAGGAGACAAAGAGAATCCAAGGGCTCAGAGGGGACCTTAAGGAAGAGGTGGTCCTGCAATGAGTCTTGAATGGTAGATGTGAGTATAGGAAGCTAGATGTGAATGAGGGGCCAAAGGAATGAGGTCCAAGCCAAGGAACTGGCCAGGCAGGGCCTGAAGGGAGTGTGTACATGGACAGACGTTGGGAAATGGGGCAGGAGGTAGACAGAGACCAGTTTAAGCCCAGGAATCTGGCTCTGATCTTCTGGGAACTGAAAGATATTAAACTAAGGAGTGATTTGTATTGGAGAGGCACTCTGAAAGCAGCCACTAGAGAGGATGGAAAAGGGATGGATGAAGAATCTTAACACGTGGGTGTTAAACACAGAGTTACCATATGACCCAGCAATTCCACTTTGAGGTAGATTCCCCCCCACAAAACCGAAAATAAGAACTCAAACAAATGTTTGCACACCAGTATCCCCTGCACTCGTCATCAGAGCCAAAGGGTGGAAACAACCCAATTGTCCATCAACAGATGAAGAGACAAACTGTGGTCTATCCACGCAATGGACTATTATTCAGCCTTACAAAATGGGGACTAGTGGCACATCCAACATGGATGAACCTTGTAAATATCATGCGACATGAAAGAAGCCACACCCCAAAGGCCACATACTGTATGACTCCATAGTTATAAGATGGCTAACACAGCCAAATCTGTAGAGACGGGAAGTTGTTAGTGGTGGCCTAAGGAGAGGCTGGTGGTTAATACTTAAGGGGTATGAGGTTTTCTGGGATGGGAGGGTAGTGAAAATGTTCTGAAACTGATTGTGGTAATGGTTGTAAAACTCTGAATATATGGAAAGCCACTGAATCGTATACTTTAAATGGGTGAGTCGTATGGTATGTGAATTATATTTCAATAAGGCTATATTTTAAGAACTCATTTTTAGGGGCACCTTAGGTGGCTCAGTCGGTTAAGCATCTGCCTTTGGCTCAGGTCATGATCTCAGGGTCCTGGGATTGGGATCCCTGCTCAGCGGGGAGTCTGCTTCTCCCTTCCCCTGCTCGTGCTCTCTCTCTCTCTCTCTCTCTCTCTCAAATAAATAAAATCTTAAAAAAAAAAAAAGGATTCATTTTTAGGTCAAACTGATTGGATGAGCAGGGTGAGGGGCAGAAGACAAGGATGGCTCTCTGGTTTCTGGCTCAGGCACCTGATTGGGACACATGGAGTTCGCTGGTTTTGTGGGTGGACAGAGGGTCTGGTGTACTAATGAATATAGTTTGGGATATGCTGAATAGGGGATGTATGAGGGACATCGACATGGAGACATCTCAGAAGCAAATGGAGAAATAGTTCTGGGGCCAAAAGTTCTGAGCTGGAGATACTGACTTGGGAGTTCATCATCACCTTCTATGTGTCCTTAAAGCAGTTTGAGAGGACAGGGCTGCCCAAAGAACACACAGAAGAGAATGTTACCAAGGACAGAGTACGGGACACAGCAACGTCCAAGGCACGGGAATGGCCAACAGGGTGGCAAAGGAATTCCATGAAAGAATCCCATGAAGGATCTGCTGGACTTGGGATTGGGAAGCCAGCATGCCCCTGGGGACAAGAGCTCCAGCAGAGTTACGAGGACAGAGCCAGGTGGGTTAGGGCAGGGCTGCCCAACCTCATCACGGCCATGGAGGAGATCCGTGTATTCCATCCTAGAGCTAATGTGCATTGGATTCCCTAGCACCCACTCTCTCCTGCCCTCAGCCCCAGCCCCCAGCCCAGAAAGCTCTAGGTGAAGGCATAAATAGGAGGTAAAGACTAGACAGCAGTAAACAGAGGCACACCTCATTTTACTGCACTTTTTATAAATCGAAGGTTTGTGGGCAGCCCCGCATCAAGCAAGTCGGCCGCTACCATTTTCCCAACAGCATCTGCTCACTTCATGTCTCTGGGCCACATTTTAGTAATTCTTGCAATGTTTCAAATTGTTTCATTATTACTGTACTTGTTACAGTGTTCTGTAACCAGTGATTGCCACTCACGGAAAGCTCAGGTGATGGCTAGCATTTTTAGCAATAGGGTCCTTTTCCCTTAAGGTACGTACACTGTTTTTTTACGCAACAGGGTCCTTTTCCCTTAAGGTATGTACACTGTTTTTTTACACATCACATCAGTGCCTGTGGAACAGACCACAGTATAGTGTAAGCATAACTTTTATATGCCCTGGGAAATAAAAAAAGTCATCGGACCCGCTTTATTGTGGTGGTCCAGAACCGAACCCGCAGTATCTCCGAGGTTTGCCTGGAAAAAGAATTCTTTTAAGAAAGGGCGGGATCGGGATGCCTGGGTGGCTCAGTCGTTAAGCGTCTGCCTTCGGCTCAGGTCATGATCCCAGGGTCCTGGGATCGAGCCCCGCATCGGGCTCCCTGCTCCGCGGGAAGCCGGCTTCTCCCTCTCCCACTCCCCCTGCTTGTGTTCCCTCTCTCGCTGTGCCTCTCTCTCTGTCAAATAAATAAATAAATAAAATCGTTAAAAAAAGGAAGCGCAGGGGCTGGAGGGGCTGGTGTAGTAAGCTGGGGAAAACCTGTGCATGCCCGCATCCCAGGGAGAGCCTAGAGATGGCGTAAGGATAGAGAAAGGTAGTAACTGAGTGGACTATTGGAGGAAAGGACATCAGCAGAGAGGCACCTCAGGTGTTGTTCTGGGAGGGAGGCTGAGGGGCAGAGGGGTAAAGCACTTACTAGCGAGGACAGGGCATACCACAGGAGACGGCTCTGTTCTCCCGGGAGGCAGGCGGACAGGTCAGACACGGGGCGGCGGGGGAGCAGAGTCTCAGCACACGGCAGAGGCGGCCCTAAGCCCGGGCAAAGCCCACAGCCGGGCAACAGCCCCACCCGGCTACGGTGTCGGCCGCCAGTGCTGGGCACCTGGGAGGAGGAGCCAAGCAGGTGAACAGTGGGGCTGACCCAAGCTTAGGGGTGGCAGGGCTGTTCCGGGAGACGGAGGAAGGAGCCAAGGGTTGAGCAGCGAGGGGTTACGGCAGCAAGTGAAACTAAGAATGAGGGAGGGAGGGAGACAGAACTAGAGAGACACCAGAAGGGCAGAGGACAAGGGGTCTCAGGTCTTGATGGAGTCAAGAAGCGAGGCGGGCGAAGGGAGACGGGACAGGACTGGGGGTTGTGGCCGGAGGCGGGGACCCTGCAGTTGGGCTAGAGAGATGGCCAAGATGTAGGAGGTGTCAAAGTCCAGGGTGTCAGCTAGAATAGGCTTCTGCCACCAAGTGGAGAGAAAGCTCCTCGATGCAGCACGGCCAGAGAGGAAGCCTGTGGACAAGTGCGCAGGCCCCAGGACACACGGGGAAAGGGATGGGGCAGGATGGCTGGACTTGTGACCCCACCCGGAATGGGGTAGGGTCGGGGGGGGAGGGCCTCAGCCCTGGGGATGCCACAGGGCGCTTGCACTTAGGGGCTGTGCGCACTGTACCCAGGTACTTCTTCGTGGTTTGAGATCACTATCAAGGGGCCCGATTTCCTCGAAGTTTCCAAATCCAGTGCTGGAACCGCCTGGACCACCCTGCAGAAGAGAAAATAAAAATAAACCCAGAGAAAACATCAGTCAAATCTTAAGTCATTATAACGGCAACCACATTCACAATAAACAATTCATGATTTAGCAACGGCTGGGACAACATTATACAAAAGACCGAACTGACCCGGTGAACCGGGGTGTCTGTACCAAAAGAGCCCCTTTTAAAGGGAAGAGACCCAGGGACATCTGGCTGGCTCAGTCCGTAGAGCATGTGACTTTTGATCTCAGGGTTGCGAGTTTGAGCCTCGTGTTGGGTGCAGAAATTACTTGAAAATAAAATTTCAATTTAAATAAATAAATAAATAAACAAACAGGAAGAAAAGACGTGGCCTAAGAGCCCCAGAGGGAACTTTCCTACCTCCGATCCTCTGAGATTGAACCCTGGCCTGCCACGGGGCTCGCTGGCCTTCAAAACACCTTGTCCACCTCCTCCCATTTCTAGGATGAGCAGTTAAGGCTCAGGGAAGGGGCACAGCAATTAGGGGTCTGCCAGGCCTGGACCTGGGGCCCTGTCACCCTCCACCTCATCACCCTCTCCTCAGTGTCCCTGCAGACTGACAAGGGATGCAGATTGAGGGGCAATTTGATCACGAGGATCCCCAGTATAGAATTCAACAAATGCAAAAAAGTCTCCAGAGCAGGGAGGACCCAAAACCGCGCACACCCAGGACCAAGGGCGGGGCAGCACTGTGACCAGAGCTCGGTGCTGGGGCCCAACCATGAGAGGTGGCGGTCCTGTGAGCTGTGAAGGGCTAAGTGAGGGAGGGAGGCCCTTCAGAAGATGGTCAGGGGAAAGCATGGTCAGTACTCTTCGGGACAAAGTCTCGGGGGCCAGCTGAGCCAAGGGGATAGGCCTTGAATAAAAGGATATTGCCTCCCAGTGCATGAGCAAGATGGGCAGGAAGGGAGACCCACAAACATGGAAGGAATAGCTCTGGCAAAAGAGAAGCCAGGGCTATTTGTATAGGGAAATCTAAAGGGGAAAAAAAAAAAAAAGCCGGGGCGCTTGGGTGGCTCAGTTGGTCAAGTGGCTACCTTTGGCTCGGGTCCTGATCTCGGGGTCCTGGGATTGAGCCCCGCGTCGGGCTCCCTGCTTTGTGGGGAGTCGGCTTCTCCCTCTACCTGCTTGTGTACTTTCTCTCTCTCTCTTTATGTCGAATAAATAAACAAAACCTTAAAAAAAGGAAAAAAAGACAACCTAGGGTCAGGGCTTAGGGGTAACTGGAGGACCCCAACAGGGAAAGACTGATGAAACTATGTAATGTTTTGAACCTACACCAAACTATTACAAAACTGGGTGGCTATAAATCCCTCTAATTATATGCACTCTGTATCTTAAGCTTTCCTAATAGCATGGTAAAAAGCTCACCAACCCGAGGCAGCTATTCATCACAGTGATATTTATAACAGTGAAAGGACACACCTCCAGTGTCCCTCACTTGGGAACAGGTTAGTGAGTTATGACACGTCTACAAGACGGACTATGAAACAGCCACTGAGAACCACAAACTATACAAAACTATGTGGCAACACTGAAAAATGCTTATAATGCAACACGCAGTAAGTTAAGAGCAAGTATGGATCCCTGGGTGAGTGCTGGGCCCCTTTCTCCTAGCTGACTGACTGGGAGACAGAACAGGACCAGAGCTGAAGGAGGGAAGCTGGGAATCCTAGGGGGCTTGAACTTGCTGGCACAAACTCCAATTTCCTGTCCTGCTTTTGATAAACTGTGGCTGGCAGCAGGAGAAGACACTCCCCCGCCCCGCCCCCCCACACCCCGCAATGGCAACAAGAAACTGGCTGGAGGATGTTTCTGTTCTATTTGAGAACATTCCACTGCAAAATCCTTTTTCCTTTAGAACCTTGGGATGGGGTGCTGTCATGGCCCAGGACTACCCAGTGACTCTGAAATACGGGAAGTGTGTCAGCAGACCAACCGAAATGCTTAAATGACTTGAGTGTGTACCTAAAATAGCTCACTACTCCACTCAGAGTTACTTCATTCAGGTGACATGACCTCAGTTCTCAAAGACCTGCCCACAGAAGTCAGTACGTGCATCGTCAGTAGGCTGCTAAGATAGATCTCCTCTAAATCTAAACTAATTATTTCTTCCCTAATCATAGTCTTTTTCCTTCTCCCGTGGGCTTCTGGGGAACTGAAGGGCAGGCTGGTTAGTTAGCCTGTTGATAACCTTCATATAGTACCTCAGCTCAGAGGGTCAACCTAACCAAAGGTGACAAAGGGGGCGGCCTCTGGGGGCCACGAAGTGTACGCACGGAGCAGAGCACTCGGCTGTGGGCAGAGGGATCCCCTCCTCCATAAGCTCCTGCCCTGTCTGAAAGGGGGTCACTCCTCTGGGAGAGGAGGGTCAGGCCCCAAGTTGCCAAGTCTCCTGATTTTTTGGGAAAAGGAAAGAAATGTCTTGAATTTAAAATGTTGGCAACTGGGGCACCCGGGTGGTGCAGTCGGCTGCGCCTCTGACTTGGTTTTGGCTGAGGTGGTGACCTCAGGGTCATGAGATCGAGCCCACGCTGGGCTCCACGCTCAGCCCAGAGTTTGCTTGGAATTCTCTCTCCCTCTCCCTCCCCGCCACTTCTCTCTCTAAAATAAATAAATAAATCTTAAAAAAAAAAAAATGTTGGCAACTAATTCAGATTGAATCACCACCTCACGCTGCAATCAACCAAAGGGAAGGTTTGGGAACTTCTGAACCTGAACAGTTTTTAAATTCCTGAGGGCCCAGAAAGTGCCTCAGGGCAGCACATGATAAAGGGAACACTGACTGGGCAGCACCTGGCCTACATGCCAGCACTTCTGATTTGGCTCTGTATGTCAGCTCTCACTTGAGTGTGGAAAAAGTCCTGCTGATTAATTAATAAAGACGTTCAAAACCCTCAAAATCCCTCAGGTTAAAAACCAAAGCTCGGAAAATGGAACACTGCTGCATCTCCACCTCCGGCAGCCCGGGGGTGGACAGAAGTTCCGTGGGATACACATGTGGGATCTTTTCTCAGATGTTTTCATATCTGCACCCTCAGGCTGGGCCTCACCTCCAGCCCTCAAAGGAGACAACTGTGATAATGCTACAAGAGAAACGGCCCTCCCTGCAAAGGGCAGCTCCTCTGAGCTCTATCTCACCAGAAAAGTCTGTAGGGGCGAGCTGAGGAGGCCAAGCCCAGGGCACTGGCAGGTTTCCTACGAATACTGACATTCCAGGAGGAAGTGACATTTGCATCCCATGGAGAGGAGTAGCAGGACACCCTATTCACCGGTGAACAACCTGAAGCCCAATCTCAGCCATACGTCCAGTTTCCAGAGGCTGAAGCAAGTTTCCTCAACCCCTCCCTAGAGGCTCGTCTTCCAGGTGGGTGTGGGCCACCTCTGGACAGGTATTTTAGGAAGGCAAGAAAGGATCCTCTGCCTGCCCCCAGATACCCTTCAACCAGCTCCCTGCCTGCCATCCTACAATCAGAGCTCAAGATTAAAATGCAAACACACTCAGGGAGAAGGATAGGGTACATTTAACACTAAGGTACAAAAGGCTGAGTCCTTTCAAAAGATCAGCTTTTCTAGGGGCAACGAGTTAGGGTCGAGGAAGGACCGGGAGAAAAGGGAGGGGGGGCTGCTCAGAGTACCTCAGCCTTTGCTTTGGAATCTTTCAAAACATTTCTGTCAGCACAGAGTCAAATGTGTCTTTAGGAGCTTCCACGAAGGCATCCTGCCACTGACTGGGCTCAATATAAGAAAAGCCCTGCAAAGGCTAGAATCACTCTCTGATTTGGCCCCCTTGGTATACCATTGCCTTTGCCTGCCTCAGGAGGACACCAAAGCCCCAAGCTTCGGAGACCCCCCACTGGCCGCTGGATCAGATCAGTCCTTCCCCGCTGAACTGTGAGTTCTTAAGAGCAAGCAAAGTGGTTAAGTGGGGAAACCTGACCAGGCAGCCAAGCCACTTTTACCTGAAGCCACATGACCAGGGGCAGTTCTGAGAAGTTCTTGCAAGGGTTAGTGGCATAATAGAGCCACCAGAACATGTGGGCATCCTTGCGGATGGTCACATAATCCCATACTTCCTTTCCCTCCTCTGTGGGCCACTCCGTGATCGCTCCTGAAACAGAAGCACAACGTGATTGTCCCAAAGAATGTGTAACGTCCAGGTAAATTCCAAGCCCACAGAGACGGCCATGATAAACTGGAGATGATTTCGTTTCTATTTTAGGCACTCTACTCACTCTAATATATTGTGGAGATAAGGAAAAGCACTTCAGTTATGATAAAGCAAACCAGGAGCGCCTGGGTGGCTCAGTCAGTTAAGCCTCTGACTCTTGATCTCAGCTCAGGTCCTTGATCTCAGGGGTGTGAGTTCAAGCCCTGCATCGGGCTCCATGCTGAGCACAGAGTCAGCTTGAGATTCTCTCCTTCTGCCCCTTCCACCCATTCTCTCTCTATAACAGATAAATAAATCTTAAAAAAAAAAGGCAAACCAAACTTAATAGTGGCATAGGAGGTCAGGGCTTTCACTTTTTCCTCTGCACCCCCTGTAATATTCGGATTTTTAACAATTAGCATGAAACACTTTTGCAATTCTGTTTTAGAAAGACAGATTCAGGGGCACCTGGGTGGCTCAGGTGTTGAGCATCTATCTGCCTTCGGCTCAGTCATGATCCCAGGGTCCTGGGATCGAGCCCCACATCGGGCTCCCTGCTCCACAGGAAGCCTGCTTCTCCTTCTCCCGCTCCCCCTGCTTGTGTTCCCTCTCTGTGTCTCTCTCTGTGAAATAAATAAATAAAATCTTTAAAAAAAAAAGAAAGAAAGATTCACATTTCTGGAAAAAAAGAAAAATCACACAATGCAAAATGCTAGCCTTTGTATCTCATTTAATATATGATTAAAGAGATATCCCAAATGAGAGGGACCAATATTCACTATCTTATGCTGGGGCAACTGTTAGCTTTTGTGAAGGAGAAAAAAAACGTAGGTCCTTACTCGACACTATAAACCAAAATAAATTTCAAGCAGATCAAGTATTTCAATTTTAAAATTTAGATATTAAAAATAATATAAAAATATAATTGAGGATGCCTGCGTGGCTCAGACGGTTAAGTGTCTGCCTTCGGCTCAGGTCATGATCTCAGGGTCCTGGTGTCGAGCCCCGAATTAGGTTCCTTGCTCAGTGGGGAGCCTGCTTCTCCCTCTGCCTGCTGCTCACCCTGCTTGTGTTCTCTCACTCACTTTATCTCAAATAAATAAATAAAGTCTTAAAAAAATATATATATATATATATAGGGCGCCTGGGTGGCTCAGATGGTTAAGCGTCTGCCTTCAGCTCAGGTCATGATCCCAGGGTCCCGGGATCGAGTCCCGCATCAGGCTCCCTGCTCCTTGGGAGCCTGCTTCTCCCTCTGCCTCTCTCTCTCTTCTCTCTCTCTGTCTCTCATGAATAAATAAATAAAATCTTAAAAAAAATAAAAATAACATATATATATATATTTGAATGTTTTTTTGATCTCTGGATGGGGAAGTGATGTAAGCATACCCCAGAAACTATAAAGGAAAAGATCAGAAGAGTTGAGGGCAGGGACTTATTATATTTTCTGTACAACAAAATTTATGTACATCAGAAATAAAATTAAAAGGCATACAACAAAGTAAGATCTGCAACAAATATGAAAAAGGGTGATTTTTCTTACTTGTGTAGATCAATTTCAAAAAGGAAGATCCTAATAGTTAAAATGGGTGAAGGCTCTGAGGAAATAATTTATGAAAAGAAATTTGAATGTCTGATAAATATGTGAAAAAAGGGTTAACATCATTAATATTCAGCTATGAAAATCAAACCAATATGGTCACTAAAAATATCTTTGCTTATTTGATAGATCAAAAAATAATGGCAAGTGCCCAATGGCCACAAGGACACAGGAGACCAGTCCTTGGCACTGCTGGCAAGAGTGCACACTGACATCAGTTTTGGGGAAGGCAGCTTGGCTTTCCAAATATCAAAAGAAATATATGGAGTTTTGCAATTCTGTTTTAGAAAGATTCAGGGGCACCTGGGTGACTCCATAGATCAAAACCTATATATATATATATATATATATATCCTTTAATCCCACAGCTCCAATTTTCCCTAGTTAACTTTGTAGCATCTGCAAAATATGTATCTGAAAAGAGGAGGTTCAATACATTTTCCATGTCACCTTTGCGAAAGTAACAACTCTTGAGTTACAGTTGTTTTTCTCAAATATCCCTCTGCGGGTAAGAAAAGGCTGCTGTTCAGAGATGATGGGCTCCCCATGATGGGAGTTTCCTGTCTTCTACTTCCTCTTTTCTTAAATTTCAAGACCCCATGGCAAGGAAAAGCACAAAAACTGGTCTCAAAAAGAAGAGAAGGGAGTAGAGGAGGAGACAATGAGGTTTTGTAAGTGAGAAGGATATAGATTAAGAAAACCAGAAAGTGGCTTGAAGAGCAAAACAGAGTGGCTAGATCATAGATGTGGCTGGAAGATTCTCTGTACAAGTGACCCAAGATTACATGACAGATATGGCTCGGGTCCCTTTTGACTTAACCGGTGGCCCTCCTCCCTTTCCTGGCAGTGACCGCTGTCAAAATTGGAGGGGGGGCATATTTGACAACATTTCCCAGACCCAAGCTGAAGGGCCAGATGATCCCCAGTTTATAAATGGGAAGACGGGAACTCTTAAGGATTCTGCCTAAGATCACAAGGCAAGTTGGTGGCCAGTTCGAATTCTCGGATCTTGATTCAGACCAAGGAACATTTTGCTGAAAGACTGAAAATCGATTTGCAAGTCATCCTATTAAACACGATTTTGTTTTTGTCAAAAAGAACGGCAGTGAGGGGAGATGTTATGCTGTTTGTTCTGTAAGAAGAGAGAGAAAGACCTTATCTCAATGAAACGTCCCAATGGTGGTAGGGTTGGTTTTTCAGGGTCCTTCGCACCGCATGTTTCAGCTCAAAATAGAAAGTCCTCATTAATCCCGTTTAGCAGCCAATCACCGCAGGAAAAGGAAGGTGGACTTAGGATCGTGGAAACCTCATCGATCAGCAGTTTCCCCAAGTCATGTATTTTGCACAACTGCTTCTACCTAGGCGTAGGGAAGAGAGGAGTACCAGAGCACTCAGGGCCAGAAAGGGGTAGAAAAAGCACTTAGCATTAAAAAAAGAAGAAGAAGAAGAAATAAAGAAGGAAAGAGAGCGGCGTTCTAAAGCAGTATAATTACGCAAGGTAGAAACTAGGGGAAAGAAATTTGCTTTCAAAAGCACAAACCCACTAATAGACGCTCATCCCTGGAGAGAGACGGAGGTGCTGGCCGCTGATGCACCTTTTGCCCGAACCTACCGGTGCTCAGGCCCAGAAGCAGCAGCAACAGCAGAGACACGGGAGTGGTTCGGGGCGCCAGCTCCATGGCGAATACCGGGCGGCAGCATCAGCCGTAGGCTGGGACTCGCACCCCACCACGTGACAGCGGTGGGTGGGGCCTGGCCGGGACCGGGCCGGGGGCGGGGCCTGTCTGAGGGGCCCGGGCGGGGGCGGGGGCGGGGCCTGGGCAATGGGCGGGGGACCGCTGCCTGTGTCCCGGGCGGGCTCTGCTGGTCTGGCCCACCCGGAGGCGAGGGGCGGCGCTCGGGGTATGCTCTCTGCCCCACCACGTCCTCCTCTGCCGTTTTGGGGACGGATCAGAGAAGTTGAGGCGTTTAATGCATTTGTTTGATTAGGTCGGGTCGTGGTACAGGACTGAAACGCTACGGACTAATAAGCACGAGAACCGTCCTTTCTGTCGGGCTCATCTCTTCCTTCCCCCAAAATAGGCCTGGCATTTCAAAAGCACCTGCCTTTCCCCCCCAGAAGATGAAGCCTGAACCAACTGGTCGTAGAACACTGCGATTCCATTTTCACAGATTTAGCTTCAAAATTATTTTAACTATAAAATTACATATATCGTGGACATTTTGGAAATTACAAAAAAAATTTAGATCCTACAAAACCGTTGTTGGCATTTTGGGATATATTTTTCTCTGTTCTTCATCTTTTTAAGTATAATGATTAAAAGTTTTATTGGTTTTTTTCTGTGTTGATAATTTGTCATTCACATAATTCTGTGTTAACATTGTCTTCACAACAGTCCTTTTTTAAAAAAATATTTGAGAGAGAGAGAGAGAGTGAGTGAGCACGAGCAGGGTGGAGAGGGAGAAGCAGACTCCCTGCCGAGCAGGGAGCCCTCTGTAGGGCTCTATCCCAGGACCCCAGGATCATGACCTGAGCTGAAGGCAGACGCTTAACAGACTATACCACCCAGGCGCCCCCACAACAAGTCATTTTAAAGAAGGAATTGTAGGTTTGGGTAGGAGAAGGGAGGAAATGAATGGTAGAGGGGTGTGTGTGTGTGTGTGTGTCTAACGGTCTTATTTTTTTCCTTGGGATATCCTGCACAACTCACCTCGTAGAACTAGGACACAAGATAATACAAGGACAGTGTGAGGGTCAGATTATTGCTGAATACTCTATTTCAAAAAGTGCACGTGATAGAAAACGAAACAAAAACAAAGTCCATGCGACAATGACTCCTTTCCTGTTCCCCTCTGTATCCCTCTCCTCCGGACCCTTGTAAATGGACAGATGTTTTTATCGGCAACCTTATGAAATGACAGAGTCCTGCCGTTGAAGGGCAAGGGCACTGAGATTTGGGCCAGAGGAAAGAATTAGGCAAACAGGTTCTCTTAAGCTTGAGCTTGGGTTGGTCCTGGAATGTGTTAAATGCCATAATGAGGGTACTGGGGATAAGCCTCTTCTAAAGGAATATTTGAGAAATATACATACAGGTTACCCCCTTAGTTAAACATTAATAACTATGTCACAAACATTGTCTAAAGTTTTTCCTATCTAAGTAAAGCAACCAAGTTGGTCTGTGTCACCAGAGCTTCAAATACTCTTAACCATTCCACTATAGCTAGACTTTCAGGGTTTTGTGTTTTCATGGCAAAAATAACACTATAGTAAATATATTTTCCATATGGTATTTTTGGGATTATTTCTCTAAGATAAAATAGAAGTGATCCTCTTCTTTAAAAATTTTATTTTTTAAAAGATTTATTTATTTTAGAGAGGGGGGAGAGAGAGAGAGAGAGAGAGAGAGCAAGCAGGGGGAGGGACAGCGGGAGAGGGGGAGGGAGAGAGAATCTCAAGTAGAATCCCCACTGAGCAGGAAACCCCACTCAGGGCTGGATCTCACGACCCTGAGATCATGACCTGAGCAGAAATCAAGAGCCAGACTCTCAACTGACTGAGCCACCCAGGCGCTCCAACTTTATTTTATTTTTTTAAGATTTTATTTATTTATTCATGAGAGACAGAGAGAGAGAGAGAGAGAGAGAGAGAAGCAGAGGGAGAAACAGGCTCCCAAGGAGCAGGGAGCCCGACGCGGGACTCGATCCCAGGACTCTGGGATCCTGACCTGAGCCGAAGGCAGACGCTTAACCATCTGAGCCACCCAGGCGCCCTGGGCGCTCCAACTTTAAATCATTGGATGGGCTTATTCAGTACGGGTGATGGAGATACAGGCAAGGGCCAGGGTACTGCCCGATAAAACAATGGTATGGGGCGCCTGGGTGGCTCATTTGGTTGGGTGTCTAACTTGACCTCTGTTCAGGTCTTGATAGCAAGAGTTTGAGTTCAAGCCCCACATTGGACTCCACGCTGGGGATAGAGCCTACTTAAAAACAAACAAACAAGAACAATGGTGTAAACATCAACTACAAACTATGGTTGCCCCTCAGGGATAAAGGGCAGACACTGACAGGGGAAGGGGAGAAGGTAATTTCCTGAAATAAGAGTAATGTTGTATATTTTGGTAGGTGTGTTATAAAAAAATAAAACACAACTGAGTAAATTTTATTTTTTTTAAGTTTTATTTATTTAAGTAATTTCTACACCCCACAAGGAGCTTGAACTCATGACGCCGAGATCAAGAGTTGTACATTCCTCCAACTGAACCAGCTAGGTGCCCCTCAACTGAGTAAATTTTAAAGATCTTATTGGCCGTATTCAATGATTCATGAATCTGGCGGGATACCATCTAGCAGACAGAAAGGGGATCTAAGGAGCTGTACAAAATTTAAGGCTTTTTATAGGCAGAAACCTCTGATCAAGGAAGTTATTAACAAAAGAAGAAAATATATTGTTTGTTTCAGGCAAGATCCCCTTTCTTGGGGGCAGGGTGGGGAGGTGGCATTTATCATGCAGATTACTTAACTAGTGCTGATCAGGAGATTTCAGATTGACTATTAAAGGGCACATACCTGGGGTACCTGGCTGGCTCAGTAGAGCATGTGACTCTAGATCTCAGTGTCGTGGGTTTGAGACCCAAGTAGGGTGTTACTTAAAAATAAAATCTTAGGGGCACCTGAGTGGCTCAGTCAGTTAAGTGTCTGCCTTCGGCTCAGGGTTGTAAGTTCAAGCCCCACATCAGGTGTAGAGGTTACTTAAAAATAAAATCTTTAAAAATAATAATTTAGTGGGCGCCTGGATGGCTCAGATGGTTAAGCGTCTGCCTTCGGCTCAGGTCATGATCCCAGGGTCCTGGGATCGGGTCCCGCATCGGGCTCCCTGCTCTTTGGGAGCCTGCTTCTCCCTCTGCTTCTCTCTCTCTCTCTCTCTCTCTCTCCCCACCTCTGTCGCTCATGAATAAATAAATAAAATCTTTAAAAAAAAATAATAATAATTTAGTTCAGTAAGGTCATGGGACACAAGATAAACATATATAAATAAATCATATTTCCATATATTAGAGAGCACATGGACATCAAAATTAAAAACACAATACCATTTACAATTGCTAGAAAGAAAGACAGGTGTAAATCTAACAAATGTATAGGGCTTCTATGCAGAAAACCACACAATGCTAATGATAGAAATCAAAGATCTATATAAATGGAGAGACATACTGTGATCATGGATGGGAAGATTCAACATAGTAAGCATGACAATTATTCTTGAATTGATATATAGGTTTAACACCATTCCTATAAAAATCTCAACAAGACTTTTGTAGATATAGACAGAGACTATTCTAAAATTTATAAGGAAAGGCAAAGGCACTAGAATCACCAAAACAATTAGAATAAAGCATAAATAAAGTGGGTAATTTGTCTACCCAATTTTAAGATTTATTGTGTATCTACCACTGTAGATCAAGACTGTGTGGTATTGGTAGAGCGCCTGGCTGGCTCAGTCAGAAGAGCATGAAACTCTTGATCTTAGGGTAATGAGTTTGAGCCCCACATTGGGCATAGAGATTATTAAAAAAAAATAAACTTTAAAAAAAAATTAAAAAGACTGTGTGGTAGGGGCACCTGCGTGGCTCAGCTGCCTGTGTCTGACTCTTGATTTCACCTCAGGTCATGATCTCAGGGTTGTGACATCTAGCCCCATGTAGGGCTCTGTGCTGGGCATGGAGCTTGCTTGGGATTCTCTCTTCCTCTCCTTCTGCCCCTCCCCGCTCTCTAGAAAGAAAGAAAGACGAAAAGAAAAGAAAGGAAGAAAGAGACTGTGCAATATCGGTGGAGGAATAGACACATGGATCAACAGAACCAAACAGAGAACACAGAAGTAGGCCTGTCAACAGATTTTGGACAATTGTTCTTTTGGGGAGCAAGAATTCCTGCCCTCTCAAATGGCTTTCTAGCTGGACTAAGAATCAAATTGATATAATACAGGAGAAAACCAAATGTAATAGCATACATAAGGGGAATCCACATACACATGGAAATTCAAAGACAGGCAAAATGAGGTCCATATGTCATCCTGAACTAAGGAGAAAGGGATAAGGGTCAGGGACCTCAGAGAAAAGGATAAAAGCCATAAGAAGAGTAGATGTTTGGTAATCAGGTGTTTGCCCCGCCATACAGATGGGTCCCTCAGATAAAATTGATCTCTGCTACTAACCCTTATGAAGACATTGGATCACTTCATACATTGCAAGGGGGAATGCAAAATGGTACAGCTACTCTGGCAAACAGTTTGGCAATTTCTTAAAAAACTAAACATGCAAGGGGCGCCCAGGTGGCTCAGTCAGTTAGGTGTCTGCTTTGGGCTCACGTCGTGATCCTGGGGTCCTGGGATTGAGCCACACGTTGGGCTCCCTGCTCAGCAGGGAGTCTGCTTCTCCCCCTCCCTCTGCGCCCCCACCTTGTGCTCTCTCTCAAATAAATAAAATCTTAAAAAAACACTAAATTAGACCAAACATGCAATTATCATATGACCCAGCAATTGCACTCCTGGGCATTTATCCCAGAGAAATAAAGTCTTATGTTTATATAAAAACCTGTCAATGAATGTTTATAGCAGCTTTATTTGTAATAGCTCCAAACTGGAAACAACCCAAATGGTGTTGAACACGACCAACGGGTCTTCGATGCAAATGGTTAAACAGTGGTTCACCCATGCCACGGGATACTG